GTAGAATATAGTTGTGCATTAATTGGCTGTTGATTGCTAGTGTTGACTTCTTGATGTGCAGTGCCTCGCAAACGTCAAGCCGTCTGCTATCGCTGTATCTGTCGATGATTTCTGTGTTGTTTACTAGGATTTCTCTGGCGATGGTTTGGTTGTGGGAAGATATTATATGTTCCTTAATGGAGCTCTGTTGCTTATGCATCGTTAAACGCCTAGAAAGAGATGTTGTTGTCTTGCCTATATACTGGGTTTTTTGGAGCTTACAGTCCCCAAGTGGGCATTTGAAGGCATAGACGATGTTGGTCTCTTTTAAAGCGTTCTGCTTTGTGTCTGGAGAGTTTCTCATGAGTAGGCTGGCCGTTTTTCTGGTTTTATAGTAAATCGTCAGTTGTATCCTCTGATTTTTGTCTGTAGGGATAACGTTTCTATTAACAATATCTTTCAGGGACTGCCCAGACAAGTACAAGAGGAGTGTTGTTAACGCATATGTCGACCATGCTCTCAGCCACAGCTCAGAATGAAAGCAAGTCGACGAAGAACTCTGTAGGGTAAGGCAGGTCCTAGTCAACAACGGCTTCTCCAATGGTTTCGTCGAAGACATCATAAGAAGGAAAGTGAAACGCCATGCAACCTCTGAAGAGACAACTAACACAACACCTATACCCCCTATTAGACTATTTTACAGGAACTTCTTTTCCACAGCTCATAAAACGGAGGAAAGGGTCCTGAAAGATATTGTTAATAGAAACGTTATCCCTACAGACAAAAATCAGAGGATACAACTGACGATTTACTATAAAACCAGAAAAACGGCCAGCCTACTCATGAGAAACTCTCCAGACACCAAGCAGAACGCTTTAAAAGAGACCAACGTCGTCTATGCCTTCAAAAGCCCACTTGGGGACTGTAAGCTCCAAAAAAAACAGTATATAGGCAAGACAAAAACATATCTTTCTAGGCGTTTAACGATGCATAAGCAACAGGGCTCCATTAAGGAACATATAATCTCTTCCCACAACCAAACCATCGCCAGAGAAATCCTAGTAAACAACACAGAAATCATCGATAGATACAGCGATAGCAGGCGGCTTGACGTTTGCGAGGCACTGCACATTAAGAAGTCAACACCAGCAATCAACAGCCAGTGAATGCACAACTATATTCTACCCACCTCAAGACTCCGCTCCAATATAGAAGCATCAAGAAATATGGACCAATAGGCTTTCTACAATCACTTCCATTTCAATACCCATTGTTTCGTGTTCTGTCTTGTGTTGATGAAATTAATACCCTATTAAATACCACCTCACCCCATCCACCTCACTCAAATGTAGATATAAACAAATCAGAGATATGTAAGTTCTATTCAGTTGTGTATGTGTAAAGTCTTTGAAATGTAATAAGTTTTACGAAACGCGCTCAAGTGTCGCGTCAGACTAGAAATAAAAATGAATTTTGGAGAATTGATTTTTGAATTACCTCCAACAGTGAAAAGAAATGTACGAAAGATTGAGAAAATTCGTGTTAGAATTATTAATCTTACTTTTTCGGTTATATTTAATAATATATGTCTACAGGAAAGACTGCTACCAAAATATACTAATATATATATATATATATATATATATATATATATATATATATATATATATATATATATATATATATATATACATATAATATATATTATATACATATATACATATATATATATATATATATATATATATATATATATATATATATATATATATATATATATATATATATATATATATATATATATATATATATATATATATATATATATATATATATATATATATATATATATATATATATATATATATATATATATATATATATATATATATATATATATATATATATATATATATATATATATATATATATATATATATATATATATATATATATATATATATATATATATATATATATATATACCTACCTAAAAGGGATACTACCTCTGGTGCATGTGTAGGGACCCATAGCCTCGGAGAAGAAAATAATGAGCACTCAGGGAAGACCTTGTGGATCCTCACTGAACACTTTGCTATTTTCTTCTCCTACACCCCCCCTATTCTTTTAGTGTGTGTGTATATATATCTAACTTTATTTAAAATTTCATTACACAAAAAAGGGTTACAACATTGGTTACATACAAGACTACTTGTCACAAGTTGTACAGCACCTCCAGCTCCTCAGATGGCGGGCAGGAACCATGGATACAGTGAGCATTTCCTCTCTGGATCGCCACACTAAGGCACTGAAAAAGAAAACTGGCGCCTCTAGGGTCTCTAGTTGTTTCAATTAGCTTGGACCCCAGTTCCTTCAAAAAACTTGTAGCACTTTTACCCCAGGCACCAAGTGTCTCTGAGGCAATGGGGACAAAATTGTAGTGGTGATCAAGGTCTCCATATTTACGTGACTTGGCTGCTTCCCGGTGATTGGCAGCACCTCCTGCCTGTGCAGCACTGAAGTTAACATAGGTGTTGGCTAATGTTGAAACGCAAGTGTAGTCCCACACCAACTGTCTACCATTCTTCCAGGGGTTCACCGTGATCCCGTCTGGGCGACCGACAGGCTCATCTGAGTTGCAGGGCATTAGGTAACGGGGCTTTCTCTCTGCTGGACAACCGGCCGTGGTATGGCTTCTCTTGATAATTTCGTTAACCTTGCCGTGTCTTGCATGCCATCCTCCTGTCCTTTGGCAGAGAAGGCCATGCCGTCCGTACCTGTCGGCCACTGCCTCGCTGCAAATACAACTTTAATCGGTGTGGATTCGGCACCGAGGCGGAGAGCTACAGCAATTCGGAGGGCCTGCTGTTTGAGACGAGTGCCAGTTGCTGACATTGGGGTTGCTAATAGGAAGTCCCCTGCATGGGGAGCTGCTACAGCTTTAAGTCGGGCAATATCTTGTGGTGTTGTTGCAGCTTCTAGTAATGTCGCAGCTTCTTGGTCGACAATGGGACGATCCCAGCTGGATTGCTTATGGGGATCAGAAAGCAGTTGTTGGGGTGCTGGTCCTGCGAGAGAGACCGATTTGGTGGTGCAGTCTTCAAAGCTAGGATCATGTATCCCTGCCCGTTGAGCTAGGTGCTCAGGAAGGATTTCCTTCACCAAGTTGTCAGACGCCACTGAAGAGGACAGAAACGCTGGTACCGCAATTTGTGTTGCTGTGCGCACGCCAAGGCCCCCGAGTCTGACAGGAAGCGAGGCCTGTTTCCACTGTGAGTCACTGAGAGAAAGGTTGAGGGCTTTTTCTAGCATTGATTTCAGCAAGCTGTCGTACTCCTCTAATTTAATATTATAGAAAGATGGCGAACATCTAAAAAAGTAGGTCAGCCTGGGGAGGGACAAGCATCTGGTGATGAGGTACAGTGCATCATGAGCATCAATGCCTTCAATTCTCTCGTCCATCCTCTTCAGATCAGTGATCTTCTTACCAAGGACCTCGTCGATGGCATTCCCTCCAAGAGGAGCACCTAGAAGTGTGCTGTCCTCAGGGTTGGTTACGTGACTATCAGGCAAAACAACCTTTATTTGCTCTATTATGTGCTGGTTGGTGGAGATTATTTCGCACTTTGAAGAGTTCAGGGTGAGACCTAGGCTTGCTCCTTGCTCCTGAATTATTCTTATGTCGTCCAAGAGTGAGGCTGGGGAGCCGGCTAGAGTACCATCGCCCAAAAACCAAATGTTGAGCTCACTGGACAGGTTATCGGTGACTTCCTTGATGACTAGGCAGAAAAGAAAAGGAGCAAGGGGGTCACCCTGTTAGACACCTTCTTGTGACTCAATTTCATGTTCCCCGAAAAGCAAAGAGAGATTCTTGCAGTAACATGAGTTTACAAACGGGTAGAGGGAAGGAAAAAGGCGATGAACCGCACTGAGTACTGCATCCCATCTAACCAGATTGAAAGTATTTTTGAAGTCCAGTTTTATCAGGGCTTTTTCATCCATAATGTTGGCAATGTAGGCTCTAGCTGCATGAGCCGCTGCCTCACACGCTTGGGGAATGCCAAACCCAAGCTGTTTTGGCTTTAGCATGTCGGCTGCTGCCTGACTAACTGCTCTAGCAGCAGCCTTAGCGACGAGGCTCCGGAGTGAATTGCCCACAGCTATCGGTCTGATTCCTCCATCTTTTTTCCTGAGGGGTACAGAGTGAAGCACCAAAAAAGATAGGCCGTATGGTCTTTGGTATGTTGCCAGCAAGACATGTGTTGGAGAATCTAGTTAGTTCCACCAGGAGGCCCTGTGCAATGCCTCCCAGTGCAGGGTTGAACATTTGTTTGATGTGGTTGGGTCTTAGACCTGTGAACCCGCCTGCTGATCCTGGTGGGAAGGATAAAGCTGCTTTATGCACCATGGATTCGAGCATACACAGGGGTTCTGCTCTGGTGACACCAACTAGGGAAACACTGTCGTCACGAGGAGCTCTGGGTGGGTGTTTTTCTCTAAAGGCTTGTGCTGTATCAGCGTCTCTGGTGGCAACTGTGTCCTCGCTGGTGATGACTCTGATCGCCCCTATTGTGTTGCCTTCTTCTATTTTCCTGCTGACTGTTGTTCTGATTTTGGATGCCTCGGTTCTGCTGTTGATACCTTTCCTGCGATGGGTGTTTTTGGCACGGGTGGGGAGGGGTGCCTGGTTGTCCTCTCTAGGAAAACTATTTATTGCCACAATGACTGAGGAAGCTAGTGATTTGTCTCTCCTTGCAGGGACAGCTAGGCATATGTTACCAAACAGGAGAAGATTATGCCATGCTTGAATGGTTCCGGGAGAGTCATTAACCTTTTTCAAGAGGCTGGATAGTTTGGCTGCCGCTTGGGTGCGGGCAGCTTTGGGGATGTGTTGCAAGGCTCCAACCGATGTCGCTTTGATGGCTTCTAGTAGGTTCTCAGTCGAAATGAAGCTGTTGGAGGTGTTTTCCCTGACTGCTGGTGTGGGACCTTGATTGATACTCTCTTTGGGAGAGCGCCACCTACCCGGACAATTGGTTCTGTTGTGGGCATGTTTGCGCACACCCCCCGTTGGTCTTGAGACGCCCCACCTTGTCACACACTTGGCATGTGCCGTACTTGACGCTGGTTGATGGCTCCTCTTGGCTGAGAGAAGTCTGGCTGTCATTCGTGACCTGCGACATCCTCGGGCGCTGGGTGAGCGCTGGGCGGGCGCTGAGCGGGTGGGACCGGATGCTGGGCGGGCAGGATCGGATGCTGGGTGGGCGCTGGGCGGGTGCTGGGCGGGCGCTGGGCGGGCAGGATCGGATGCTGGGCGGGCGCTGGGCGGGCGGGGCTGGATGCTGGGCGGGTGCTGGGCGGGCGGGGCCGGATGATGGGCGGGCGGGGCCGGATGCTGGATGGGCGGGCGGGGCCGGATGCTGGGTGGGCGCTACACGTCTTCGAACACCTGTCGACCAGGAGACGCACAAGGCCGAAGTCAAATCAGGCACCCCATATATAAACAACCCGTTCTCGCACTTTCTTACAGTCAATATTGACTTATTAAATAAGTGCATATGTGACGTACTAATTTATTGTGAATATTTTAGTTTACCTTGAAAAGCTTTATAGAAAACACCGACCTTATCTTACCTTTTTAGTATGTTAAGATAAGCATCTTATTGCTTCGTAATTACAATTATTATTTAACCTATACCTATAATAGGTTAAGTAATAATTGTAATTACGAAGCAATAAGATGCTTATCTTAACATACTAAGAAGGTTAGGTAAGGTCGGTGTTTTCTATGAAGCTTTTCAAGGTAAACTAAAATATTCACAATAAATTAGTATGTCACTTATGCACGTATTTAATAAGTCAATAATGACTATACGAAAGTGCGAGAACGGGTTAATATAAACCCCCTTTATCCGCGGCACCCAAATAGTTGAAGAGCACTACAGGACTGGACGCAACTTGTCATCCCAAGTGAGGTCCAAACACTGCGACTTAAGGACCACGCCCCCCGGCAGCCATCACCACAGGGAAGGGTTCCACACTAGCGAGTTCTGCACTAGGATTCACACTGGGCGTCGCACTAGGCGTCCAACTGGGCTTCGCACTGGTTTGTGCACGAGGCTTCTCACTGGGCTGCACACTGGGAGGACCCGCAGAGGACGCAGATGCACCAGAACCCCCGCCACTGGAAACAGGAGCAGAAGCCCCCTGGTGCACATCTTTCCTTAAGACCACGACGAGGTCCCGATCAGCAGGAGCAACCTCCCACTGTGAGGAGCCAACAGCAGTAGGCGCAGGGGGGCAACACAGAGCCCCCCCCCCCCACATCACCGTCAACCACGGTGGGAGACCGCGGAGCACCATATTCTCCCACCTCCACCCAAGGCACCCCACGAAGGGGAGACACACTCGGAACCCGCCTCGAGCGCTTGGAGACAGGCTGCGGGTCGTCCGAGTTATCACCCCCATCATCCTGCATCCCAGCAGAACTCTCCGACGGGTGCGCCTTCAGAGCCCGGCCCCTGAGAACTGCAGCCTCCACAGCCGGGGGCACCGGACCACACACTGCAGGAGACAGCCCTTAGCGGACATCCAAAGTGACAGGGGGACACCGTATCCAGGGACGGAACAAGCAGGGGCGACCGAGACGGAGCGGGCTGGGGCGTCAGGGGCAGGGATGGCTCAGGCGGGGAAGCCGGTGGCGGGGGTGGGGGCCGCGCCCCAACCCCTACGTCAACATCCACACCATCACCACCCACATCCGCACCCAGGCGAGTCGCAGGATCCAAAAACCGGGGCAGAAGCCAGCAGGGAAGCAACAAACATTCCAGCACTTCTAGACAGGTCCGGAGCCGACAACGGGGGAAAATCCTCCTCCTGGAAGAGGTTAACAGGGATGACCTGGCGCTCCTCACACCCGGAAGCCTGGTGGCACGGTAGGCCGTACCTGAAACATGTCCTAGGCTAGCCTGCGTGAAAGATACGAATCGGGAACCCCAAGAGCATCATGAAGGACGGTATAGGATCCTTGAGGCGTATGGCGAGAGAGTGGGTCCCACACGGGATCCCCTTCCACGTCCCGGTAGGGACGGCATTAATCCTCACATGAAGGACCCCGCCTAAAATGGGCAAAGTACCTACGTAGAAGGTCCTCAGGGAATTCGAAGGGCATTCCATGCACTGTCACATACGTCGTGGTACCACAACGATCGGTGAGGGTCACTGACCCACCATCTCCACGTAGAGTGAAAGAGCGCCCATCATAGCACGTTACGAGATCTTGGTAAATCACTGAGCAGCCGAACTTGACAATCGCCCGCCTCCCAGCAAGCAACTGCACACCATAGACAGCCTCCACAGGAACCCGTAGCATATCGAGTATCACCACCTCAACTGCGTGGAAGGAAGCATTCCCGGAAAATTTCTGGCCAATTGAGTCCTGCCTGGCCTGGTGACAGGGGACCACAGGCCCCCCCCCCATTACTGCAGACCGTCACGGCCCCAGGCGCCCCTCAGGAGAAACACGGGACGTAAGCCACGTCAGCAGCTACACCCAGGTCCACAGGTTGACAACAACTGCCGGGACCGGACGAAACAACCGTACCCCCGGCAGCCAAGAGCGCACTCGCGTCCAACAGCCTGGTTGACCAGTCAAGCAACCAGGAGGCCTGGTCGGGGACTAATGAAATGAGGCTGCTAATCTACTTGCCTGCACTAGCAACGCTAGTAGATTGCTGCCCTGTGACTATCAGTGAATACTTGTAGATGTTGTTTTAGATTCAGCTATTTGGAACAAAAAGTTCCAAGTAGCACGGGCTAGGGTGAACCTGTATCCCTAACGTGCTGCAATATATAAGTAATAATAGTTATTATTAATTAAAAATACTGAATAAATACCTGGATAGCACGATGTGTTCATGTTAGTGTATACAACATTCGGCAGTCGTTCGTATCCGCCATCCTCCAACTTATTTTTAACCTGGCCACTTAACGTAACATAATCTAACCTAACTTAACACAACCAAGCCAAACAGAGATTAACCTGAGAAAATAAATCCTAAGCTATCAATATTTATGGCAGTAGACACTGCCACTGCCGTAAGCACTGGACACCGTGCTTTCGTACACAAACACAGGCCGTGATTCCTTGACAAATAATAAGTTATAATAATAACTTAATTGTCATTAAATATTTGCAAAGGCCATATTTTTCATTCTGAAGAAAATTTAAAAGACCTCTTGAAAGAGATATAAGAACTCCGCGTTACCTATTCTTCCTGTTTAATTAAATTATAAAGATATTTAAACAAATATTAAGCAGTTGACAATTACTTATATACTCACCAAGTTGTGCTTGCGGGGGTGGAGCTCTGGCTCTTTGGTCCCGCCTCTCAACCGTCAATCAACTGATGTACGGATTCCTCAGCTTACTGGGCTCTGTCATATCACCATTTGAAACTGTGTATGGAGTAAACCTCCACCCACTTCACTTCCTAGTGCATTCTATTTTCTAACTACTCTGACACTGAAAAAGTTCTTTCTAATGTCTCTGTGGCTCATTTGGGTACTCTGCTTCCACCTGTGTCACCTTGTGCGTGCATCACCCGTGTTGTATCCTATATAAACATAGCAAAAACACTTAATAATGTAGTAACACTTTAAACATTTAAACAAACAATCTACAATTAATTAATACCTAAAGAGTTTGCAAAATTTAAAAAAATATTGAGAAAAATTGGATAATATTATTTACCTGGAGCTGTAAGACAACAATGGGAGGTGACGTGGTATCCCTGGACGTCATAGTTGTCACAAATATCTAATTTTAATTATAGAATAATTGTCCCAATGTATCTTTACATAAATATGTGGCAGTTGAAGCACCAAATTGTTCTTTATTAGAAATGGATAAATGTAAAATAGCTATATACATAACTGAAAAATCATGACAAGCTCCATTAATGGATAACTTTGATATAGTAACTGGTAACTGTAGGTGAACGAAAACGATATACCAGATATCTTAGATGTTTTCTTTGATATAAGGATCGACCGGAAGGGATCTTATTCATTATAAACTAATTAACCACAAACATATGTACTTTTAATTAAAAAATATATATCAAAGCATAATTACTCAGTAATACATTCATTTTAATATATTCATTAGAAAGCAAATTTTTTCTAGGACATCATCAAGATTTGTGAAGGTAAAATAGGTTTTTTGAGACAAAATGCAAACGGCTGAATTCAGCAATAATATGTGAGAGGACAAGTTGGTAGTCAGTATACTACTATATAATTACTCTACTTACCTACGCTAAGTAGGTACGAACTCGTGACAATTAACGATCGTCTCAGTAGGTACTTTATAAATAGGAGGATAGGTTGTATTTTCAGTGGTGTTTTCTTATGAGAAAAACATAAGATGAATGTAATTGACATCATCTTTTCAGTGTGTGTGACTTGTGCTTGTCACAGCACTTGTACTGGTAGATACACCGACGGCCTCATTACTTTACAGGGAAGGCGTTCAGTCCCTTATGGTCCAAGCAGTTCACGATTCCTTCACTACTTCCTTGGATCCCTTCCAAGAGCTACATGGTCATAATGATATACTGCTTTCTCTTCATAATAACTTTATCTTACCAACAGTCAATGTAAACTATGTGTGTGTGAGCTGTAGATAACAAGAGAAACATTTTCGAATGAATTTTACTTAATTAAGCAGCATTAATTACTCAAATTAAATTTAAGATACTCAGGGCAAGTAAGACAATTACATTGTTAATGCAGTAATCGGTTTATTAAATACCGAATATACAATATATTTATTCTCTTTACATAAAATTGTTTATCTTTCATATATAATTAAGTAAAGGTCTTTTATACAGGAAAACAGAATAAATATTTGATAATGAAAAAAGGTATTACTGAGGCGAGGAGCAGCAGTGGGTGAGGTTCTCCCCCAGCAGGGTGAGGTTCTCCCCCAGCAGGGTGAGGTTTTCCCCCAGCAGGGTGAGGTTCTCCCCCAGCAGGGTGAGGTTCTTCCCCAGCAGGGTGAGGTTCTCCCCCAGCAGGGTGAGGTTTTCCCCCAGCAGGGTGAGGTTCTCCCCCAGCAGGGTGAGGTTCTCCCCCAGCAGGGTCAGGTTCTCCCCCAGCAGGTTGACGTTCTCCCCCAGCAGGGTGAGGTTCTCCACCAGCAGGGTGAGGTTCTCCCTCAGCAGGGTGAGGGTTCTCCCCCAGCAGGGTGAGGTTCTCCTCAGCAGGGTGAGGTTCTCCCCCAGCAGCATGGGGCTCACCCCCAGAAGGAAGAGGGTTCTCCCCCAGCAAGGTGAGGGTTCTTCCCCAGCAAGGTGAGGGTTCTCCCCAGCAGGAAGAGGTTCTCCCCCCAGCACGGTGAGGTTCTCCCTCAGCAGGGTGAGGGTTCACCCCCAGCAGGTTGAGGTTCTTCCCCAGCAGGGTGACGTTCTCCCCCAGCAGGGTGAGGTTCTCAACCAGCAGGGTGAGGTTCTCCCCCAGAATGATGAGGAAGGTGTTATTGAGGCGATGAGCAGCAGTGGGTGAGGTTCTCCACCAGCAGGGTGAGGTTCTCATCAAGCAAGGTGAGGTTCTCCCCCAGTAGGGTGAGCTTCTCCCCCAGCAGGGTGAGGTTCTCCTTATCAGGGTGATGTTCTCCACCAGCAGACTGAGGGTTCTCATCCAGTAGGGTGAGGTTCTCCCCCAGCAGGGTGAGGTTCTCCCCCAGCAGGGTGTGGTTCTCCACCAGCTGTGTGAGGTTCTCCTCCAGCAGAGTGAGATTCTCCTCCAGCAGGGTGAGGTTCTCATCAAGCAGGGTGAGGTTCTCCCCCAGTAGGGTGAGCTTCTACCCCAGCAGGGTGAGGTTCTCCCCTAGTAGGGTGAGCTTCTCCTCCAGCAGGGGGAGGTTCTCCCCCAGTAGGGTGAGCTTCTCCTCCAGCAGGGGGAGGTTCTCCCCCAGTAAGGAGAACTTCTCCTTCAGCAGGGTGATGTTCTCCACCAGCATGGTGAGGTTCTCCCCCAGTTGGGTGATGTTCTCCCTTGCAGGGGTGAGGTTCTCATCCAACAGGGTGAGGTTCTCCCCGAGCAGGGGAAGGTTCTTCCTCCAGCAGGGTGAGGTTCTCCACCAGCAGGGTTTGGTTCTCCACCAGCAGGGTGAGGTTCTCCCCAGCAGGGCGATGTTCTCTCTCAGCAGGGTGAAGTTCTCCTCCAGCAGGGTGAGGTTCTCCACCAGCTTTGTGAGGTTCTCCTCAAGCAGGGTGAGGTTCTCTTCCAGCAGAGTGAGGTTCTCCCCCAGTAGAGTGAGCTTCTTTCCCAGCAGGGTGAGGTTCTCCTCCAGTAGGGTGCGCTTCTCCTCCAGCAGGCAGAGGTTCTCCCAGAGTATTGTGAACTTCTCTTCCAGCAGGGTGAGGTTCTCCCCCTGTAGGGTGAGCTTCTCCTCCAGCAGGGGGAGGTTCTCCCCCAGTAGGGTGAGCTTCTCCTCCAGCAGGATGAGGTTCTCCCCCAGAAAGGTGAACTTCTCCAGCAGGGAGAGGTTCTCCCCCAGTAGGGAGAACTTCTCCTTCAGCAGGGTGATGTTCTCCACCAGCATGGTGAGGTTCTCCCCCAGTAGGGTGATGTTCTCCCTTGCAGGGGTGAGGTTCTCATACAACAGGGTGAGGTTCTCCCCGAGCAGGGGAAGGTTCTCCGTCAGCAGGGTGAGGTTCTCCCCAGCAGGGTGAGGAAGGTGTTACTGAGGCAAGGAACAGAAGTGGGTGAGGTTCTCCCCCAGCAGGGTGAGGTTCTCCTCCAGCAGGGTGAGGTTCTTCCTCCAGCAGGGTGAGGATCTCCACCAGCAGGGTTTGGTTCTCCACCAGCAGGGTGAGGTTCTCCCCAGCAGGGTGATGTTCTCTCACAGCAGGGTGAAGTTCTCCTCCAGCAGGGTGAGGTTCTCCACCAGCATTGTGAGGTTCTCCTCAAGCAGGGTAAGGTTCTCTTCCAGCAGAGTGAGGTTCTCCCCCAGTAGAGTGAGCTTCTTTCCCAGCAGGGTGAGGTTCTCCTCCAGTAGGGTGCGCTTCTCCTCCAGCAGGGTGAGGTTCTCCCAGAGTATTGTGAACTTCTCTTCCAGCAGGGTGAGGTTCTCCCCCTGTAGGGTGAGCTTCTCCTCCAGCAGGTGGAGGTTCTCCCCCAGTAGGGTGAGCTTCTCCTCCAGCAGGGTGAGGTTCTCCCCTAGAAAGGTGAACTTCTCCAGCAGGGAGAGGTTCTCCTCCAGCATGGTGAGCTTATCCACCCTGCAGGGTGAGGTTCTCCCCCAGTAGGGTGAACTTCTCCTCCAGCAGGGTTAGGTTGTTCTCCCAGTAGGGTGAACTTCTCCTCCAGCAGGGTGAGGTTCCCCACCAGCAGGGTGAGGTTCTCCGCCAGTAGGGTGAGGTTCTCCCCAGCAGGGTGAGGTTCTCATCCAGCAGGGTGAGGTTCTACCCCTTCAGGGGAAGGTTCTCTATCAGCAGGGTGAGGTTCTCCCCCAGCAGGGTGAGGAATGTGTTACTGAGGCAAAGATCAGCAGTGGGTGAGGTTCTCCCTAGCAGGGTGAGGTTCTTCTCCAGTACGGTGAGCTTCTCCCCCAGCAGGGTGAGCTTCTACACCAGCAGGGTGAGGTTCTCCCCCAGCAGGGTGAGGTTCTCCCCCAGCAGGGGAAGGTTCTCCCCCAGCAGGGGAAGGTTCTCCATCAGCAGGGTGAGGAAGGTGTTACTGAGGCAAAGATCATCAGTGGGTAATGTTTTCCCCCAGCAGGGTGAGATTGTCCTCCAGCAGGGTGAGGTTCTCCTCCAGCAGGGTGAAGTTCTCCCCCAGCAGAGTGAGGTTCTCCACCAGCTGGGTGAGGTTTTCCCTCAGCAGGGTGAGGTTCTCCTCCAGCATGGTGAGGTTCTCCACCAGCAGGGAGAGGTTCTTCACCTGCAGTGTGAGGTTCTCCTCCAGCAGAGTGAGGGTTCTCCACCAACAGAGTGAGAGTTCTCCCCCAGCAGGGTGAGGTTCTCCACCAGCAGGGAGAGGTTCTCCCCCTGCAGAGTAAGGTTCTCCCCAATCAGGGTGAGGTTCTCCACCAGCTGGGAGAGGTTCTCCCCCTGCAGAATGAGGTTCTCCCCAATCAGGGTGAGGTTCTCCCCCAGCAGAGTGAGGAAGGTGTTACTGAGGCAAAGATCAGCAGTGGGTGAGGTTCTCACCCCAGCAGGGGGAGATTCTCCTCCAGCAGGGTGAGGTTCTCCTCCAGAAGGGTGAGGTTCTCCCCCAGCAGGGTGAGGTTCTTCCCCAGCAGAGTGAGGTTCTCCTCCAGCAGGATGAGGAAGGTGTTACTGACGCGATGAGCAGCAGTGTGTGAGGTTCTCAACCAGCAGGGTGAGGTTCTCCCCCAGAATGATGAGGAAGGTGTTATTGAGGCGATGAGCAGCAGTGGGTGAGGTTCTCCACCAGCAGGGTGACGTTCTCCCCCAGCATGGCGAGGTTCTCCCCCAGCAGGGTGAGGTTTTCCCCCAGCAGGGTGAGGTTCTCCCCAGCAGGGAGAGGTTTTCCCCCAGCAGAGTGAGATTCTCCCCCAGCAGGGGGAGGTTCTCCCCCAGCAGGGTGAGGTTCTCCCCCAGCAGGGTGAGGCTCTCCCTCATGCAGGGTGAGATTCTCCACCAGCTGGTTAATGAGGTTCTCCTCCAACAGGGTGAGGTTGTCCCAAAGCAGGGTGAGGTTCTCCACCAGCTGGGTGAGGTCTTCCTCCAGCCGGGTGAGGGTCTACCCAGAGAGGTGAGGTTCTCCCCCAGCAGGGTGATGTTCTCCCCCAGTACGGTGAGCTTCTCCCCCAGCAGGGTGAGGTTTTCTCCCAGTAGGGTGAGTTTCTCCTCCAGCAGGGTGAGGTTATCCCCCAGTAGGGTGGGCTTCTCCCCCAGCAGGGTGAGCTTCTCCCCCAGTAGGGTGAACTTCTCCTCCACCAGGATGAGGTTCTCCCCCGGCAGGGGGGAGGATTTCCCCCAGCAGGGTGATGTTTTCCCCCAGCAGGGTGAGGTTCTCCCTCAGCAGGGGGAGGTTTCCCCTTGCAGGGTGAGGTTCTCCCCAAGCAGTGTGAGGTTCTCCACCAGCTGGGTGAGGTTCTCTCCAGCAGGGTGAGGTTCTCCCCAAGTAGGGTGAACTTCTCCTCCAGCAGGGTGAGGTTCCCCACTAGCAAGGTGAGGTTCTCTCCCAGTAGGGTGAGGTTCTCCCCCTTCAGGGGAAGGTTCTCCATCAGCAGGGTGAGGTTCTCCCCAGCAGGGTGAGGTTCTTCTCACGTAGGGTGAGCTTCTCCCCTAGCAGCGTGAGCTTCTCCACCAGCAGGGTGAGGTTCTACCCCAGCAGGGGAAGGTTCTCCATCAGCAGGGTGAGGAAGGTGTTACTGAGGAAAAGATCAACAGTGGGTGAGTTTCTCCCCCAGCAGGGTAAGATTCTCTTCCAGCAGGGTGAGGATCTCCTCCAGCAGGGTGAGGTTCTCCCCCAGCAGGGTGAGGTGCTCCACCAGCAGGGTGAGATTCTCTTCCAGCAGGGTGAGGTTCTTCTCCAGCATGGAGAGGTTCTCCACCAGAAAGGTGAGTTTCTCCTCAGCAGGGTGATGTTCTCCACCAGCAGAGTAAGGTTCTCCCCCTCCAGGGTGAGGTTCTCCCCCAGTAGGGTGAGTTTCTCCAGCAGGGTGAGGTGCTACCCCAGTAGGGTAAGCTTCTCCTCAGAAGGGTTAGGTCTTCCACCAGTAGGGTGAGCTTCTCCTCCAGCAGGATGAGGTTCTCCTCCAGCAGGGTGAGGTTCTTCCCAATTTGGGTGAGGTTCTCCCCCAGCAGAGTGAGGAAGGTGTTACTGAGGCGAGGAGCAGCAGTGGGTGAGGTTCTCCCCAGCAGGGTGAGGTTCTCCCCAGCAGGGTGAGGTACTTATCCAGCAGAGTGAGGTTCTCTTCCAGCAGGGTGAGGTTCACCCCCCAGCAGAGTGAGGTTCTCCCCCAGCAGAGTGGGGTTCTCCCCTATAAGGGTGAGGTTCTCCCCCAGCAGGGTGAGGTTCTCCCCCAACAGGGTGAGGTTCTCCACCAGCAGAGGGAGGTTTTCCCCAAGCAGGGTGAGGTTTTCCCCCAGCAGGGTGAGGTTCTCTCCTAGCAGGGTGAGGTTCTCCCAAAGCAGGGTGAGGTTCTCCACCAGCTGGGTCAGGTTTTCCTCCAGCAGGGTGAGGTTCTCCCCAGCGGGGTGAGGTTCTCATCCAGCAGGGTGAGTTTCTCCCCCAGTAAAGTGAGGTTTTCTCCCAGTAGGGTGAGCTTCTCCTCCAGCAGGGTGAGGTTCTCCCCCAGTTGGGTGAGCTTCTCCCCCAGCAGGGTGAGCTTCTCCCCCAGTAGGGTGAACTTCTCCTTCAGCAGGGTGAGGTTCTTCAACAGCAGGGTGAGACTCTCCCCCAGCAGGGTGAGGTTCTCCCCGAGCAGGGGAGGTTTTCGCCCAGCAGGGTGAAGTTTTCCCTCAGCAGGGTGAGGTTCTCCCTCAACAGGGTGAGGTTCTCCACCAGTTGGGTGAGATTTTCCTCCAGCAGGGTGAGGTTCTCCCCAGCAGAATAAGGTTCTCCTCCAGCAGTTTGGGGTTCTCCTCCAGCAGGGTGAGGTTCTCATCCAGCAGGGTGAGGATCACCCCACGTAGGGTGAACTTCTCCAGCAGGGTGAGGTTCTCCCCCAGTAGGGTGAGGTTCTCCCCCACCAGGGTGAGGTTCTCCCCCAGCAGGGTGAGGTTCTCCAGCAGCAGTTGAAGGTTCTCCGTCAGCAGGGTGAGGTTCTCCTTCAGTGGGGTGAGGAAGGTGTTACTGAGGCAAGAAGCAGAAGTGGGTGAGGTTCTCCACTCGCACGGTGAGGTTCTTCTCCAGCAGGGTGAGGTTCTCCTCCAGCAGGGTGAGGTTCTCCTCCAGCAGGGTGAGGTTCTCCACCTGCAGGGTGAGGTTTTCCACCAGCAGTGTGAGGTTCTCCTCAGCAGGGTGATGTTCTCCACCAGCATAGTGAGCGTTCTCCCCCAGCAGGGTGAGGTTCTCCACCAGCAGGGAGAGGTTCTTCCTCTGCAGAGTGAGGTTCTCCCCCACTAGGGTGAGGTTCTCCCCGCTGGGTGATGTTCTCCAACAGCAGTGTGAGGTTCTCCTCCAGCAGGGTGATGTTCTCCTCCAGCAGGGTGAGGTTCTCATCCAGCAGGGTGAGGTTCTCCCCTAGTAGGGAGAGCTTCTACCCCAGCAGGGTGAGGTTCTTCCCCAGAAGGGTGAGCTTCTACCCCAGCTGGGTGACGTTCCCCCCAGTTGGTTGAACTTCTCCTCCAGCAGGGTGAGGTTCTCCCCCAGTAGGGTGATCTTCTCCAGCAGGGTGAGGTTCTCTTCAAGCAGGGTGGGGTTCCCCCGCAGCAGGGTGAGGCTCTCCACCGGCAGGGTGAGGTTCTTAACCAGCAGGGTGAGGTTCTTAATCAGCAGGGTGAGGATCTCCTCAACAGGGTGATGATCTCCACCAGCAGGGTGAGGTTCTTCACCAGCAAGAAGAGGTTCTCCCTCTGCAGTGTGAGGTTCTCCCCCACCAGGGTGAGGTTCTTCCCCAGCAGGGTG